AAAGTATTATCAACGTCTCTGTTAACGTAAGGTAAAATACATGAACACAGAGAAAGATCAGATATAATCTTTACAGCAAAACGTGCCTGTTGCTCAAGTCCTGGTGGCTGCACAAGGTGGGAACCCATATTAGGGAGTACAAGACTCGTGGTGAACTCCGATGTGGGATGGAGAAGTGGGTTGTGGGAACCACCAATGGGTGGAATATTTTCTGGGGGAGTAGAGACTTGCTGACCAGTATAACCATCGTGTGCAGATGACGGGGAAGAGGACTCGGGACTGCAGCATATAATGACAAAAAAGGTAATAAGGTAATGGTCATAGGTGATAGATGATAGGAATAAATTAGCCCAAGTCCATGCACATGTACAATAAGAACGAACGATGGAGGAAAAGCTTGAAATTACTTACATTGGGCCTGAAGCATCTGTAGAACAGGAGTCCTCATTGGTCTGTTCAAATGAAGGATCAAATAAATTTCCAAACGTCAAACCTTTAGGTACAGACATGCGAATATGATTGGGGAAGATAACAGACTGCCTAGAAGCGACACGTGATTTGTGCAATCGAACACCAACTTGGGAATTTACTTGGTTACATCCCAAAGCAACATCCGCAGACAACATCCCTGAAACACATAATCATTCATTATAAGATAATGTGCATGCTGACGAAAGCAAGCAACATATGCATACATCAAAGGATCTGTTAAGTAAGAAGATACACCTAATACATTACAGTATCACCTCTATAAAATTAATGACCTGGGAACCAGGTAAATCTACTAGTTTAAAGATCTCCAGAATGCAACACAATTATTTAATCAGGTATTAATTTAAAGAAATTCTATTGTACTCCATCATTCAGCTTCAATAATCCACTTCACTTTCATGTTAGTTCAGGAAAAGAGATTTTTCTACAGTAGAGATGAAACAGGATGAGAAGAAAGAAGAGATAATTCTAAAGTAGAGGTGAAAAGAAAATTACAAAACGTTACCTTCAGAAGATCCATTGCCAGGTTGAGCTGGGCAAGCTTTCTGGTCACTCAACCGTATGCAATCGTCCAAGTCAAATGATCCTAACACCACTTGGCCAATCTTCAGATTCTGAACAGAATCACACAGATTCTTTGTCTCACGCTTGCCCTTACTGTTACCAAGATGGGATTTCCACCCCAAGCTCTTGCATCTCGATGCTGCTTCTGTGGATGGATTGGTGGGCGTCGATGTGGGTGTGGGACCCGGATCTATATCCTTCAGCTGCTTTACTGTGACTGGCCACAAAGATGATGATTTTGTAAGCTTAATGCTGTGGTCCGACTTGTTATCTTTGGTTACACCAGAAATTCTACGATTGGATGATTGGGAAGGCAGTTCATGGCTGGAGCTTCTGTTGCATGCGCTGTTTGAGTCATGTGAAGGGGTTAGTGTGCTGAACAATTTGTCCTAAATATGTTAATTTGTATGTCCTAGGTGATAAAAAGTTCTGAGGTGTATTATTTAGACATCATGAACATATATCCAAATCATGAACATGTATCTTATTCAGTAATCTTCACCTTCCAACAGCATCGATTTTTTTATGAATAACTTGATTACAGGGCCTAGAAGATCCGCTCAAACCATTGTCTTGCCGAGCATTACATGGTCGTCTACCTACAGAATCACATCAGGATGCTATGAGTTGCATAGAATGTCCAACTGTTAATGACAGCGAGTCATATTGAAGAGTGACACTGGCCACATACATTATTTTTTACAAGTGCTGCAGATTACCAAGAAATTACGGTACGCTATAATATAGTAGAATCTAGAAAGAGAACTAATCATTATCAAGCATCATCTAAGCATATCTTTCCCAATTACATTAACTGTTACAAACAAAAAGTCTAGATATGAAATATAATAACTTTCAAGAAACATGTGATAGTCCAATTGTGACAATAGAGAAGAAAAATTATGTGATGTGGTGACTTGTTACAGATCTTTTTTCGATCTATATGACCAATTCATATTCCGCCCTTTAGGCTTCAAATCATGAATAGATAAACCCGCTGCTGAATAAAAGAACGAGGCACCTAGAATAATTTAGACAATCCAGTAAATTAACAATAGCGTTCAGACTCCATAGGGCATTTTCATATACAATTAGACAATCAAAGCATTACAAAAGAAAAATCTCTTGAGGCAATTAGTTAAATCATAAGAACGAAGAAGATGAAGAAAAAAAGAAAGCAAATTAAAATGAAATAGAGGATAATTCCAACTCGTTACTGTCGTTAGATGTGTACCTTCTACACTTACCAAAATCGTTCAAACTAAACGTTCACCACAGAAGTAGGATTTTCATGATATAAACTGCATCAACGAAGATCTAAAGCTCTAAAATTATTATAAGACTTGTAACCAATATTATCAATGGGAAATGCGGAGTGTAGCGATAATGCAAACTCGAAAGGAAAGAGGAGAAGTCACAGCTTTCAAGAAGCTCAAAAAGAAAAGTTATACCATCTGAACTATTAGAAGGATAATTGTTGTCACCCCTAGTCTTCCTCTCCTGCTTGCCAGTTCTTTGGCTATGTTCTTTCGAAGCACTGTTGTCAACACTCTGCAACAAAGCAGAAATACGACGTTAAAATGTGGTTCTGCCAGAAAAAGAAGAGAGGTACAGTGCAAAAATGAAATCCTAAATAAAATACAGTCAATACTTCACAGCATAGCTATCGGTGCAGTTGATCACTTACCAGTTTCCTCTGACTACGTTTTGATTTAACCTCCTGAAATGTGTCTGAAAAAGGAAAACACATATAAACAGATATGAAAGATAACTAGTTCTCTATTCGGAAAATCAATCACCACAATTACTTCATGTGCAGTAAAATGCCAATATTAAAAAGTTCACTTCAGAGTCCAAGATAAGTAAATACTACCGAACAATATGCAACTGCAACTATTCATTACTAGAAAATTACAAAAAAAATAAATAAATAAATAAAATAAAGTAAAATAAAAGATCAAATTCCAAGTACAGATTATGCAACTATAAATTAACATTTATCAAGAAGAAATTACCAGAAAATTACAAACAAAAAAAAAAGATCAAATTCCAAGTACAGATTATGCAACTATATATTAACATTTATCAACAAGCCTCTTCGCAAGTAAGGGCATATATATTGACGCTAGAATAATAAAATTCATTAGCTTATCAGTTCTACATCAACAAAGGGTAAAAAGACAAAAATCTTTCAGTTTCAAGAATCACAATGTTTAACTACACTGTGCTATCTTGTCTGAACTAACCAACCAAAGATACCAACAAATCATAGAACCTAAAATTACCAACAAAATTACTAATCAATGTATCAAGGAAAAGAAAAGCACGCATACCCAAGTATAGCTTGGTGAACGAACATGTCGCCCACTAAAAACCGTGAATAAAAATATGCGCATACCAATGTAGAGGAGCTTCTGGGTGGTCTCGTGTGGATCCATGTTGCAGTCCTTTAGCAGCGCGTATATATCATCATCGCTGTGTTTTCCGGCAATCTCCTTGATATCCCGAATCGTCCCCCGGAGGTTATCGGGAATCGGAACCCTAGCAGAGCCCTCCATTGTTGTGGAGACGATTATTGTTTGTTCGCAAAGGATTTGAGAGCTATCAGGCGGCCATGAAAGCGCGAATCAGAAGTTGGCAGGGGATGGGGAATTTATAGGAGACGGTAATTATTTTTAAAATGTTTATTTATTATTCTAAATGTAATTAGTTAGCAAATTATTAATTAAAGTAGTAGTATATCTGATACTCTTGTGGGGATTGTATCATATCAAATCTCCCGTTAATAGATCGTACAAAGATTCGGCTTTAAACGTTCTAACTTGATCCCCACGTAACGTGATATATTGCTATATATAATACGCGGTATAATAGAATCATTTATTTATTTAAAAAAAATATGTGGCAAAAAATAAAAAAAAATAAAAAGTTGTGGAAAAAAATAAAACGGCCGGATTCTAAGAATCCGTGTTTCAAGAAAAAACGGATTCTCAGAATCCGTTTTTCGTTAATTCCGAATGAAAAAAGGATTTTGAGAATCCGTTTTTCCTTAATGACGTGATTACCCTTAATTAATTCAGTAAAAAATATGTTATTAAAATCCGTGTTAACTAACACGGATTGTGATAATCCGTTTTACCCATTAACACGGATTTTCATAATCCGTGTTTATTTATTTATTTATTTATTGTTGTATTTATTTTATTTTTTTTAATTTTTTTTTAAGTTAGGCTCGACTCTTAGATGCTCACGAACTCGTTTACCAACGATCGCGTTTATTTTGGCTGAATTTTTATTCTTATCCTTCAATATGAAGATTTTTTATAAATTTTGATTTAACATTTTGAACACGAAATAATATCACTTTAATATCAATTCATTCGTCAAATGATAAAATCTAGCATGCATACATACATGAAACACTATATACAAAAAGACAACCATAATTACCGACAAAAAAAAAATGAACCACAAAATATGTACACAAAACCATCAAGAATAAATATCTGAAAATTCAGTACAAAAAATAAAAGAAAAAAAAATGTCCACAAAATCATAGAACACAACACAAACTAACTAGGAGTATATGCATTCTTAGGCCTGCGTATTTGGGACCCTCTTCGAGGCCGTGGTACCGAAGAAGACGATGCTGCGGTCGGTCCAGGCGTGGCTAGTTCTTCTTCACCTAATTAATTATTTTTTTTGTAAAAAATCAGTAATTCGACCGCACAAATAAATAAAAACAAACAAAAATAAAATATATATTTGTAGTTAAATAAAAAAATCTCACCTTCTTCGTCTTCTTTATTGGCAATGGCAGGTTCGCGGTCACGGCGTCTTCTCCCTCCACCAATGTGGGGCGCCGGTCTATGCCTCGCCCGCTGGGACTGTGTCTGCTGGGGTGGGGCGTACTCCTCTTGAGATAGAATTTGTTCCGACGACGCCCCTTGTGTGACCGACTGACCCCCAACAGTCAGAGAAGCGTACAGAAGTTCCTGGGCTTGCTGGAACTGTGACTGCGCTCGGGGAAGTAGCGTATCAATGTCTTCAATGTTCGATAGCATGTTATACGCCCCCTCCGTACCCGAATTCTGCAAAATAAAATTCAAATAACTACCAAATATTAAAATAATAATAATAATAATAATAATAATAATAATAATAATTACTTCAATAATAATAATAATAATAATAATAATAATAATAATAATAATAATAATAATAATCACAAATTAGCAGACACTTACCTGACACTTCTCCCGGTCGGCATATGGCTGAAACCCGCCGTCCTGTGAGATCGTCGCGTAGTTGTTAGGGTCATTGAATAGTCTCACAGTCCTACTGTGATACCAATCAATGTACCCCTCTGCCGGCTGCAGGAAGGGATCCACCGGGACATCTGGGAGGACGTTCTGATCTCTCTCTTCGGTCCAGATCCTCCCAAGATCAGCATGGAAAGCCCGCCAATCGGTATATGCCCTCCCAGTCATGTCCTGGCCTTTGTGGCGGGTGTCCCAATCGGCCAGACTAGTAATGATCGGCGTCTGGGGGATGGGTTGGTGGCACCAAAACTGGCGGAGCACCCTATCAGGCTGGTGGGGTTCTGCGATGTTCCAGCAGAAGATCCACCCCTTGTACATCCAGAGATGTCGGTCTCGTGTACACTCGTCCGGGAGCCGACCCTCGTCTATGTACGTCTGATAGGGTACCCAATCGAACTGTAAAAAAAAAAAACATTTATAGAATTATTAATGAATTTAATAAACAAATAGAATTAAAAAAATAATAATTATTTATTATTATGACCTAAGAAACTTACATCAGTCTCTCTCAGGCCACTCAGCTGATCTCGGATGGTAGCCGTGCCCGTCCCCAGGTGCCTCATGTCCATCGATCCCACACACCTTAAAAATCACAGAAAAAAACTATTTGTAATTACAAATTTTGATAATTGAAATAACTTAAGTGTTGAATATAAATAAATGTTATTATTACCTTGCACCCAAGGAACAACCAGCCTGAGAGCCGAAATGTGTTTTTCTCATTAATGGGCGAACACGAGGGATGCGTTCCCATGCCCCAACCTCTAGCACAAACCCCAGATTTTCTTAGTCCGGTACCTTGAAAACACATTGCTCCGGAGATGTCGAAGGCATATCCGATGAAATGCATGGGGTTCGTGCCAAGCCTCCAGTAAATCAACGGCACTCAATATGCTGTTGTCCCTGTCAGAAAGAAGATATATCGGTCTGTCGGGGACGACATGATGGCGCAGATGTGTTAGGAAAAAGGACCAGCTAGCCGTGCTTTCTTCGTCCATAATCGCATACGCGACTGGCAATAGGCGCTTATTCGCGGTCTGTGCTATGGCAACAAGTAGCTTCCCCTTGTACGAACCTGCTCAGTTGGACATATGTTTTTTTTATCAGGCACTATTATAAATAAGAAAATAAAAAATTAATTTGTAATTAACAAGTAGCTTCCCCTTGTACGAACCTCGCAGGTGCGTGCCGTCGATGCTAATAATCGGCGGGCAAAGAAGGAATGTTTGAATGGCGGGGCCGAACGCCCAGAAGACAAATCTGAATTCTCTGTCTCGAGGTTGCTTCGCCATTTCCCCACCCTGCCATTCCCACTCAACGACTGTACCGGGATTCGCCCTTTGAAGGGCGGCGAAAAATCTGCAAATTATAAAAGGTAACCATAAATAAATATAGTTACAAACAATATGTAAATACATTTATAATTAATTTTAGCTTACTGGGGGAGTTGTGCGAAGTTCGATTCCCACGTACCATACAGACGATCGATGACTTTTTTTCTCCCGTGCCACACCTTTTTGTAGCTGACATCGACGCTCCAGGCGCTTTTTACATCGGCCTGGACCATTTCCATACTGTAGGTCACCTGCTTCTGAATCTTAGCCAACAGAAGATTTGAGATCATGGTGGTGGTCACATTCTTGTGGTCATTTCAAGTGTGGCTATCGGTCCATTCGGTTGCCTCCCACATGCTGTGATCCCGTTTGTTAAGACTCACCCAGGCCTTCCATATACATGGTACAACTTCATCTGATCTGCACACAACTTTGAACGACTTCTTGTTGGAATCTTTTGTCCGGACCGCCCTAAGCTTCTCAACATTCCAGGCATTAATACCAATCCGGGCTTCTTCCTTGGTACGAAAAACTGTACCCAAACGGATAGTCTCGACATGCCCATTCCAGGTTGGCAAGGCATACTCGTCCCTGTCTACACACGACGAGTCTCACTCACCCATCTCGCGATATACGTTGAGGCCTTCATTTGGAAAGGGGTGTTCTTCAATGAATTCTTGTTCGCTCTCCTCATTAATTGATCTGTCCGATTCGGTTTCCGAGGTCTCATCCGTGAAATCGTCTTCACCGGGAATGAAATCTTCATCTCCAACAATTTCTTCCTCAATGTCCGGTCCTCTCATGGTAAAGCTCGTTCCTTCGCCGAAATTACTCGTCCCTTCGCCGAAATTACTCGTCCCTTCACCAAAATTACCGGCATGCGTAGTCCACGTATCCTCACCACCAAACATTCCCTCGTAACCATATGATGGCGTAGGATCCTCAACCTGTGTAACCTGTGTGTTTGCTTCCAACACTATATGCAAAAACACATAGGACATAGGAGCAGAGTAGTAAATCCACGAAAGAGAATTATCATTATGCAGTCTTCCGGTAATAAACGAACCATCCTGTTGTCTCGCCATCAAAGTAATATCCGAAATTGTCCAACTATCACGAAACCCACCATTTTCGTAAATCATATCTACCAATTGTTCATATGATATTATTCCATTAATAACAAATGAACAATCCGGACGAGACATATAATTCGAAAAATTCCATAACTCACTCTGGGGAATTTTCCAGTACACATTAACAAAGTATGGACCGTTAGACGACATTTATAACCTGTTACATAAAAAAAATATTATATTTTACAAATTACAACAAAAAAAAAAAAAAAATCAAACACCACGAGAAAATTTCAATTATTATTTTACCAATCTACATTTAAAAATTCAATTATTTTACCAATCTACATTTAAAAATTTAATTATTTTACCAATCTACATTTAAAATGGCTAATCAAACACCCGAGAAAATTTCAATTATTATTTTACCAATCTACATTTAAAACTCATTTCCAACAACAACATATAATTAATCATATTTTTACTCCAAGAAAAACAAAATTGTCAATTAATTTATCAAAAACACCACCAAAACCCTAATCACCATAATCCAACAATAACATCAAATTCATAAACAATTCGGATAAATATTCAACATACATTAAACCAACATTCAGGATTTTCTAAACAATAGCAAATAACAAATTATAACCATTTAACACAACTATTAAACCAACATTCAAAATCTTATAAACAATACTCAATTAACTAAATATATATCTTAAACAATCATAAACAAAAAAATAAATAATATTACATTACATTAAAAATAAAACTAACCTCTTCTCCGATGATTGGTTGAAAATTTGTTTTTTTTTTTAATGGAGCTTCATTTCGCCGAAAATCGAACAAAAGACACAAAAATATGTTTATGAACCAAC